GCGTAAAATATGTACATATATATGTACGTATATGCGCAGTTCGAATAGCTCACTCACGTGAGCCGTAGAACGAAAGGAAAACACAAATATAGCGAAATCGCTATACGACAGACAGCGTCATCTGTTGACGCTGACACCTCCCTTTCTCGGAAAAAAAACCAATCAAACTTGACATGCCTATACTAGGCAGTCAACCAAAAGGTGATTCATAAAGAGAGAGAGGGAGAGATAATGGTAACAGATAGAAAAACAAAACAAACAAAACAAAAAAAGAAATTCAAGAAGTGATGAAATAGAAAAAAGAAAAACGTTTATGGTTTAGAACGAACCCAATGAAAAAAAGTATCATCATTAAATATGTTGATAGATAAAGCTTGATCAGCACGTTGCATAAGTGGTGAGTTATTAAAGTATAAATGTAACGTGTGTTGTGATAGAATTAATAATCTATCAAAAGAAATATGATTGAACCTTAAAAAGTTCTTAATATGATAATATGACCACTGATCAGAAATTTCCCGAATTAAGGTAAAGTTTCTTTGAAGGTTTCTAATTTTTAAATTTCTTTTTCTATTACGTTTAGAAATTGAATAATGTGAACGAGTTGAAACATTAGAAGATGTTTGTTGATGCATATTGGTATTATTAATATAATTCAATATGATATTAGAAAACTCTTCACGGTAAACATAATCGATATGAAGACCATCACGGCCTAGCCATTCGAACGATATCTTTAAATCCAAGACAGAAACTTTATATTTTGATGAAAGAGAAAATAATAAATGATTGTAGTAATCGATATTATTTTGTAATAATGAAATGTTCGAATAGCGATTCGATATTTTCAAACAAGGAGGACAAGTTGTGATTATAATTTGGCCTGCCGTTAAATGAGTGTAATTAGAAAAAAGAAGATGAAGAAACTGATCAAGTTGTTGGATGACATTTGTGGCCGGTAAATTACGAACTGAATTTATTCCGACGAGAAATAAAATGTTAGATGTAGTAGAAAATAAAGAAGAAAATTTTTCGGTTTGAATTAAAGCAAATAGATTCAAATTGTCATCGTATGGATTAAACCAACGTAATCCGGAAATAGAGTATGTGGTAATAGAATAATGTGGTGTAGAAACAGTAGGTGATAGACACTTGCCGTAACTGTCAGCAATGATTAGAAACGATGTATTAGTAGTTGAAGAAAATATCATTTTAATAGATCAGAATATGATGTATGAAACTATACAGTGGATGTTGATGACTGACATGATGTTAGATAAGTTGATACGTAGAAAATGAAATAGAAGAAGAAAAATAATAAATAACAATAAAGATTTTTATTATATGTAAATCTATGAGCTGTTATAAAAAGTATGATTTTAATCTAGCTAGAGATATGATGTTATTTGTAGTATATCATGATCATCCGATATTATTATACATAGGTCGCAATAAACTAAATTTTGTGCTTCTACGGCGCCATAGAAACAACAAAATTCCCATAATACAAGACTAATGTCATACGAAGGACTTTTCACTTCGGTCCTAAGAAGAAGCATCAGTATCGATTATTTTAAAATTAGAAACTATTAGTATGATAATAAAACGAAAGATCACGATAAAAATTTTGATGTCATAATGTTATGACCGAACATATGTGAATTTTATGTAGAAATGAGCGGTCGTAGATCACTAATATGTACTTGTGATCGAATACCTGTATATTCATCTTCTACTACGTACATCGGATGATGAAGTTCAACAACTATATTTGGAATAGGAGAAAATTTTGGATCTAATTTTCCTTTTGAAATGTATATGCGTCTTAAAACTTTATCTCCTAATTTTAGTTGTGGATCAAGACGATTCTTATTGTAATACTCTTGATTAGCTTGTTGTTGTAATAATATATTTTCACGTGAAGCCTGATGAAATACACGCAACGTCTTTTTTAATTGCTCAAAATAATCGTTAGGCTTCAAAAACGTAAAATGTTGAGATCGACTATGAATAGGTAGACGAGCAGCACAACCGTATAGTAACTCATAGGGAGAAAATTTCGTAGACTTATGTACTCCTGTATTGTAAGCAAAAACAACGGCCTGCAAGTATTCATCCCAATTATTGTGTTGAGTATTTTGTAGCTTCGAAATCTGAGCTACAAAAGTAGCGTTAAAACGCTCTACTACACCATTTGTTTGAGGATGATACGGAGTACTATAGATATGATTGTAACCTATGAGATTTTTTATATTTTCCATCAGCGTGTTTAAAAAATGTGTTCCACGATCACTGAGAATAGCTGATGGTATACCGAACTTACAAAAAAAATCATCAAACAGGGCTCGTGCTGTAGTTTCAGCTGTACAATTAGGAAGTGCTATCGCTGTTATATATCGCGTAAAATAATCTGTAATGACAAGTACGTATTGATTTTCACGAGGTGTTCTTGGTAATGGTCCGCAAAAATCAATACCTACGAGAGAGAATGGTCCTTCAGGAGGTGGAATAGAGTGTAAATGACCATATCGTTTAGCGCGATCTATATTAAACTGTGTACATAAACTACAAGATTTTACGTAACATTGTATGTCGATTTTCATTCTGGGCCACCAGAAATGAGAACGAATTTTATAGTACATACGATCTGTAGAAAAATGAGCACCTGTTAATGGATCATCATGGCACGCTTTTAATAATGAATTTATCATTGATGATGGTAAATACAATGCTTTAATGATCCGGTTAGAATTGTTCTGATGACTAATTACCTTATATAGTTTACTATCTTCTAAGATGAATGAACTGTGATTTGACGTAGTAGACAACTTTTTTATGATGTTCTGTATCTTAGGATCTCGATCTTGTTCAAATTGTAATTTAGCTACATCGAAATAGTTTTGTGAAAATTTGGATGTTACTTTAGATTTTCTATTAAACGTAGAATTCGATGTATCTGTAGAATCATGATGATTATGTATGTCACTATCACGAGAAATAGATTCTTCTGCATAGTAAAGTCGATTTTTACGCGGTCTTAAAGTCATCGCTGCTAAAAGTTTTGGATTAGTAGAAGAAACTAATGAATCTGATGTTATATTATTAGTATCATTATTAGGTGCTGATGATGATAACGTAGAAAGAGTTTTACTAGCTAGACCATATTCGATATCAAATAAATCGTCAAACTGTTCTTTTGAATAACGTGAAAGATAATCCGGTAGACAGTTATATTGACCTCGAATATGAACTACTTTATCGATATTATATTCCTGAATAAGATGTGTGATGCGATTCACTCTAGCATTTTTAATTGTCTTTTTCATAATATAACATAATGGACAGTGATCAGTCATGATGATAATAGTTCTACCTAAGATAAAAGAACGCATACGATCGAAACACCTATAGATGGCTAACGCCTCTTTCTCGATGGTACTATATTTTCTTTGACATGGCGTCATAATCTGCGAATGATAATACAGATTATGAAGTTGTCCATTAACCTTTTGCTGTAAAACACCACCTAATCCGGTATCACTAGCATCTGTAGTTAAGATTAAAGGTGAATTATCTATAGGAAAATGTAGAAATAAAGGTTCAGTAATAAGCATGTGTTTAAGTTGATGAAAAGCTTTAGACTGAACTAGTTCCCACTTAAACTTTTTGCGATTAGGTTTAGTAAGATTAGTAACAGCATGAATTGGTGCTGCTACGTCAGCGAACTTTGGTAAGAATTTCCTATACCATCCTAAAGAACCAAGAAAGCGATTCGCTTGTGCTAATGTATGTGGTTCTGGTATTCGTAAAATAGCTTCTATTTTATCCTTCATCGGTGTAATACTATCTTTTTTAATAGTATGACCTAGATAATTAATTCGCTGAACGGCTAATTCGCATTTCGGAGGATTTAATAGTAGATTTTTGTCGTGTAAAGCTGAAAATACGCATCGAAGATGATACAAATGATCAGAAAACGACTCAGAAAAGATAATAATATCATCTAGATAAACTAGACAAAAAGAACGACAAGATTTTAATGTATCTGTCATGACTTTCTGAAACGTAGGAGGCGAGTTCCTCAAACCCATTGGTAAAACATTGAATTGATACAAACCAAATGGTGTTATAAATGCTGTTTTCATCTTATCCGCCTCATTAATCGGTATCTGATAAAAACCCGACTTTAGATCAAATTTCGAGAAATAACTAAATCCTTTTCCTAGCTTAAATATAGTATCTTCCATATTAGGAAGAGGAAAAGAGTCTTTAATAGTTATAGCATTCAGACGTTTATAATCTACAACAAAACGATACGAATTATCTTTTTTCTTGACCAGTATTGCTGGTGCAGCGTACGGCGAATTCGATTCCGAAATAAGACCTGCTTGCAGAAATTCCTGAATAAACTGATACATGATTTCTTCCTTATCCGGCTGTGGATAAGGTCTACTGGCAGGGGGTGAATGAGGAATCGTATTAATAACATGTGGTATTGGAGTATTAGCTACATTATGTCTAGTAGTATCAAAAATATTAGAAAACTGTCTTAGCAACGCTAGAAGATCTCGTTTATGTTCATCGTTTTGAACATTTTGCACGAGTAAATTTAAATGTTGTGTTACAGTAGAATTAGATACTTTTTTAGATGATGATAGTTTGTCGGCTGAATAACGAATGAAGCGATTAGTGCATGTGCTATTATTGTTACTTAATGCAGATGAACGAATGTGAAAATCATCTTTTATTATCGAATTACTGAATGCTGGATTCATACCAGTACATCTGGTAGTTCCATGTAAACGATAATGTGACGAGTAAAACATACGAGGATGCTGAAACGTAGAACAACATAACAAATACCCTAAACGCGTGCCTTTTTTAATGACTTTCGGATGTCTCATAGCATTATATAATAGAACATCTGAACGATAATTATGAAAAGCAAGAGTGTTGTCTTTGTAATCAACAGGTATATGAGATTTAAACGAAAAAGTTGGAATAAATGGTAAAGAAATAGATGAAATAGGAATTGCGACTGATATTTTTCGGGTTGAGTTAGATGGTAATAAAATAGTATTAGAAGAAATAACTGGTATTTTAATCGATTTCATTACATTAACGATCGGAATTAGAATTCGTTGATTCCTCACCTCAATAGAAACTAGTTGTTTCTTAACATCGATAGATAGATTATATCGATTAATAAAATCCATCCCAATGATCATATCTGTGCATAAATGCTGAGCTATGTGCGCTGTTATCGGAGTAACAAAATTATTGAATTCGATAGATAAATCTACTAACCCAAGAACATTAAATGACGCAATACCGTCTGCTAATAAGAAAGAATAAGAACGCTTTAGTATAGAACTTTTAGGTACTAAATGATGTAAAATTTGACTATTGATGAATGTTTTGGTGGCTCCGGTATCTATCAAAAGTTTTATTCTATGTTTATTGACTAAAGCGTATATAAAGATCAAAGAAGACTTTGATGGGTTTATATTAGGTTCTCCGGAGTCAACACCATCAGACGGTGACTCCACTATTGAAAATTTTGACAGGTCGAAGCCTCGTGGCCCGATTCCTGACAAATATCGCATATAGTAGCAAGAAAAGATTCATCCAAATTATTATCACAAGATGATGAATTTGAAGAAAGAATTACGTTAGCAGAACTTGACTGCGATTTCGGTGTATTATGTGAAAATTTATTTCGATGCTGTAATGCAAACTTCTTATTATTAGTATAACTATTGTTAGCATAATTAGCTGAAGCAAATGACTTGTTCTGATTAGGTCGAAAATTTCCAGAAGTGTACTTTGATGCTGTACGATCATATCGAGGAGAATATGAAGAATTGTACGCAACTGATGACGGTAGCGAATCAGCTCGAAAATTTTTATCCTTATATAAATTACGATCGTTGTTGAAATTTTGCGAAGAATTCGATGACGTGTTATTTAACGAATTTTTTGCGGTATGAAAACTAACTGATGTTACTGAGCGAGGCGCACTATTAATATTAATAGTAGAAACAGTTAACTGAAGAAGTTCTTCTGCCTCCTTGGCAAATTCTAAAAATTCTGAAATAGATTTAGGCTTCTTTTTTCGAACTTCATATTGAATAGTAGGTTTTATCTTATTCAACAGATTTTTGAGTTTAGTAGAATCGCTCATGTTTGGATCGGCTTCTTTACACAATTTTACAACCTCATTAAAAAAATTTTGAACTGACTGATGTTCTCCCTGTGAGTAAGATTCGAGTGACTTGAATGCCATTTCTTCACTAAAAGATGATAGAAAGGTTTTTCTTATCTCTTCTAAAAATTTAGTCCAAGACGTAAGTGTGCTTTTGTTATTCTTGTACCACTCTAGTGCATCTGATCTGAGTGCAAACGGAATCAAATCCAATCGAGTGGACTCAGGCACACGCGCAATTTCCATAAGATATTCAATATCCTCGATCCATTTCTTAACACTGTCTTTGCCGCCTCGAAATATTCTCGGATTCTTAATGAAATCAGACATGATGGCTTTACGAAGATCGCGAGTTACTGCATCAGATGATGAACAAGTAGTTACTGAGGTATTGCCAATTAACTTAGAATCTGATACATCACCAGTTATTGTGGCGGTATCATTAGGTTCAAATTTCGAAAAATTAGAAAAGCATGACTTTAGCTGTTGTGTGACATCGGTTGTATGTCCGAAAGCTGATTTAGAATTTGTGGTTTTATTATTGATGTGCTCAGAATCTTTAGAAAATTCAACGTGATCTTCAGCTAAACTACTTTTGGCTGTATTAAGTTTAGTTACACTTGTATCGAAATTATCCAGTAGAAATACATAAAAATCATCGTAAGATGTAATAGAGTGACGATTTTTAATGTATATACGTTTAGCATTATCTTGTACTAAAAGCGGAATAGCTTGAAAGCGAAGATAACGTGAAATTTTAAAGCGACGAAACATAGCGTCAGTCTGATCTAACCACTGATTAAGTGGTTCGGTTCCTGAAAAAGGAACAAAATTCTCACAAATAAAAGAATCAAAAGTATTATCATCTCCTTCAGTATTGCTCTTATGATCAAGTTGATGTTGTTCACTATGAACTAAATTTGATGTTTCTAAAACATCATGTTGATTCTCATGTAAAATATGATTATTATTAGATGAAGCATGTGCTTCTGTAGCAATAATGGTCGTCATAAGTGTACTTTCATCAGCTTTAATAGGTTGAACGACATTAGAGTTAACTAATATCTGTGGTCTGTTTGGCGTAGGAATAATGTCCATGCGCCTTGTCAACTTCGATAAAGAACTAGGTTCCTGTTCTGGATTTAAAGTAGATGTTAAAACTAAATGATCTGAAGTAGTTGGTAAATCGAGCGATGCTGATGATTCAGCTTTTCTCATCGTTAATAACTTTTATACGATTTTGGTCTTAACACGAAACTAAATACGAATGAAAAAATAATCGAAGAATAATAAAGAAAAAGAGAAAAAAAAATGATAATGGTATATAGATCAATACAATGATTTATATATATATAGTTACGATATAACTAAACAAAATATCGGATGATCGTATTTATTCGAAAATGTGTAATGAAAACTATGGTTATCGTATTATAAATTCAACTTCTCCACCAATGTTAGCTCTGAATATATGGGGATGTCTAATGAGCTAATCTACTCTGTACAATATAGAATAAGGCTTACATACATGAATAATAATATGCAGCTGATAGATCTATATGTATATATATATAATAATAATAATGATAATAACGATAACAACATATAACCAAAATATGATGAGAAGAATGAGAAGAAGATGATGATAACGAAAATACGA